TCACTTCCTCTGTTAGTGAATTCAGTATACTGATACTGACAGGAATACAGCCAAAACAGAGTAACTGAGATAAAAGGAAGAATATAAAAGTTCAGGGGAACCCATGAGCCTTCAGAAGTACAACCAAATCTAAAATCAAAAAGAGGCACAAACAGCATCCTCTAATCAGGACCAAATGTATTAAGTGGACATCAGGAGCTATGGATTGGGAGGTGAAAAACCCAAAATAGAAAATCACTGTATGAGATGACAGCATTTATCACTTTGGGGGATGATCAAGTGAAAGAACCACTGATGCTGGGGCTTATGGCAGCAGATCTTGTGATAGCATTGTGTTATACAGCTGAAATGTAGACAGAGGACAGAATCCTGTTAATGATTTATGTAGAAAGTAAGTTTTTGAGTATTTTTTGACAATGCTTAACACTTGTATCTAGCTGACAGTGACGTTAGCCAAGTTGCACAAATAGGACATTAACATGTGGTAGTATGTTAAAATAGACAAGTGTGGAACATGTGAGCGTGCATTGATTCTAAGCATTGGCACTGGATATTGCACAGTGCCATTTCACAATGAGTTGTCAACCATGCTCATTGACCACTGATCCATAGATTTTGCATCAAATTGTTATTGAGTGGTGTAATATAACTCTGCCAGCAAATATTTACATTATACAGAAGCAATGCAGTCTTGCCCATCATTTGCATCAGTTTCCCAATCTGGTTCCTGGGTTTCCGTTTCTGTTCAGCAAAATGTTCTTGCTTGTATCTTCCTTAGAAGTTCTCCCTCAGCAAGGATGTTGCTAATAATTGTAGTCCAGTTTGCATTCAGGACGCCTGGACCTACACAACCCATCTGTGACACCAAAGTAAGTAAGCTCATTGGTGGCTGGTGGTTTTAATGACAGCAAGATATTGAATCTACTCTGTGTTTTAGTCCAAATTTTAAAGGAGGCAAGATACTGAACCTATTTTGGAGACAGGGCTCAGCACTCTGGATAGCTTCTTTAAATTTCAGACTAAACTTTGTCACAGTTTCATCACCCCATTGACATAGAAACCACCAGCTACCACTGGCTGAGCACTGGATCCAGGAAGCATGATCAAACCGCCCAAAAATAACACTTTTATTTGCCCAGGTCCACTGTGGCAGCAAAGTAAACTGTCTACAGACTTACAGATTGTACACACTGCCCATGGGTTAGATAAAACCTAGAGCTAAAACCTACACTTTATCCAGTGGAATGATACATATACTTACGGGTGGCAATGACCAACACTGATAGTCACAATTCCACCAAAGAGATCAAGGTACCTACGTCCTTCAAAGTCAAATAGCCACTGCATATATCCCTGATGAATAAGCAGTGGCTTCTTGTAAGAAGTGTATAAGGATGGAGAAATATTTTCTTTGCGGATCTTCACCATCTGCTCATAGGGATAAGACTGTAGGGAGAAAATTTTTTAAAATGAGAAATATGTGTGGATTTATGTCCATCCTCATGATGTGGTAGGCCATATCATAAATCACTAGGTAGAATGGTGTGGCCATTTGTTTTCTTCTCAACATGTTTGAGCAAGAAGTACCCCAGTATAACTCCAGAACAGCAAACTGTCCTGTCCCACTGAGTTAATAGTGATACATCTACTACAACAGATGGTAGGAATCTTTGGCTTGCCATATGTTTTGAACTACAACTCCCATAGTCTATGATCTTTGGCTCTGCTGACAGGGATGTCTGAGCACTGGAACCCAAAATATCTGGAGTGTCAATAGTTCCTCATCTATGAACTACAGACATGCACTGACTTGGTTCCAGATTAATTTAATTGCACTTACTCACCACTGACATTAATAGGTCAATATGAATGATTGTGAACTTTTCAAATAGATTTCAACCAATTTACAGAACAATTCTGCACATCACCAGCAGAAGCAAGTCCCTACATAAGCAGGAGGCTTGAACAGCATGTTATGTTACATATATAGCATGCAAAGAATCCTCACTTTCTTGCTTGCTTCCTCATATACAGGAATAAATTTGATCTGGGATGAGATGGAAGGTACTAAAGGATCCTCCTGTTACTCCCACTCCTACATTTGCTTCATTCGTGGGTTTAAACAGTGTCCAACCTTCCATTTCTGGGAAAAGTATTGGAACATGTGGTGGCTTCCCAACTCCAGGGGTTTATGGAGGAAACGGATTATCTAGATTCATTTCAATCTGGTTTCAGGCCTAGCTATGGAACAGAGACAGCCTTGATCACACCTACGCAGGGAACCAGACTGGGAGAGTGTATCCCTGTTAGTTCTGCTGGACTTTTCAGTGGCTTTCGATACCATTGACCATGGTATCCTTCTGGGCTGCCTCTGGGATGGGACTTGGAGGTATTGTTTTACACTCCTTCCTGGAGTGGTGAACCCAGAAGGTGGTGCTGGGGGACTCCTGCTCAACCCCCTGGCCATTGGTCTGTGGGGTACCTCAGGGTTCTGTGTTCTCCCCTATGCTATTCGACATATACATGAGGTCACCCAGAGTTTTGGGGGGCAGTGCCATCAACATGCAGATGACACTCAACTCTACTACTCCGTTCCATCTCAATCCAAAGAGGCTGTCCTAGTCCTAAACCAGTGTCTGTCATCAGTGATGGACTGGATGAGGGCAAACAAATTGAAACTTAATCCAGACAAGACAGAGGTGCTCCTGGTCAGACAGAAGGCAGATCAGGGAATGGGGATTCAGCGTGTGTTAGATGGGGTTACACTGCCCCTGAAGATGCAGGTGCGCAGTTTGGGAGTACTCCTGGACTCAGCTCTGAATCTGGAGGCCCAGAGGCCCAGGTCTCTGCAGTGACTAGGAGTGCTTTTGCATATTTAAAACTTGTGTGTCAACTGAGTCCATTCCTTGATATGTCGGATATGCCACGGTGGTACATGCCTTGGTTACATCTTGTTTGGACTACTGTAATGCATTCTACTTGGGGCTGCCTTTGAAGAGTGTTTGGAAACTTCAGCTGGTCCAAAGAGCTGCAGCCAGGCTGTTAACAGGGGCAGGTTATAGAGATCACACAACAACCCTGTTGAAACAGCTTCACCAGAAGATTTTTAAAGAATGGGCTGGATGTTGTATTCTTTTAAAGTATTTTAAACACTTTTATCTTTTTAACTACAGTTGCTCCCCCGTTCTTGCGGGATATCCATTGTGGACCACCACCACCACCACCCCCCACGAAAATGGAAAATTGTGGATATTCAAGCCCCATTGGCTTGAATGGAGGCACGTGCCTGCGGGGCGTGCAGGTGTGCAGCACAGACACATGCTCTATTTTGTCCCTCTCTGTTCACTGCCCACAAATGGGCAAGGCATGCAGACTTGAAGTCTGCAAAAATGGAGGGGTGACTGTACATTTTATTTTTTTTATGCAATCTATTTTAATATTGTAACAATGTAATTCTGTTTTAATGTAACATTTTCCTATATTTTAATTGTACTGTTTTTAATCTTGTAAACCACACTGAATCCCAGTTTTGGGGAAAGGATGGGAAAATAATAATAATAATAATATATTAAAATGCAGCAAAAAAACCTTAACTGATGCTAGTGCAATATATGCATGTATTTTAGCCCCCACATAGGCTATAGAAGTTAGATAAACAGGAAAATAAGCTGTGTGGGGAATGGAATTTACACTTCCTCCACTTGTGTGCAGTCATGCTGATTTTGTTTGATTTTATTTATTTCTTGAATTTATACTCCACCTTTCTCCTGAGATGGGATCCGAGGCAGCCAGTAGGGCCCATAAAAACGTAAGAAAAATAAAGATAAGTGATGCTGTCCTGCATGCCATCTATTTCACACAGCATATAGAACAACATTGTTTCCCAAATGTGTTTAGGACTGAATATTGCTCGGGAACCAATCCAAACTTTCATAACTGTAGGCCCCCAAATTTGAATCTTCTCCAAACCTGTGCTAAGGTTTTGTCATGTTTGGTAATAAAAAAAACCCCAAACTTTATAATGCTCCCCAAACTAAGAAACAGGTGCATCAACTTGGGCTTCTTGGTAAATACCCCAAATCCTAACATTGTTTGATTTGCTCCAAGACCTGTTCCAAAGTTTTGCAATAAAAAAAAAATTGACACAAGTTTGGAGTAACTCAGAAAATGTTGTAATTGTGGAGTTTACTTATGAGCCCTGGTTTGAGAGTAAAACTATTGCTCAGTTTTGGGAGCATTGCAAAATGTGGGAGTTTGGTGCAAAGTGTTGCAAAACAATTGCAAAACTTTGGTACCAGTTTGGAGAGATTCCAAATTTAAAGGTCAGTAAGGTAACAAAGCTATCACTCCATTCTATTTTTCCATGGTACACAGAATCTCACTGAGGATTAGTTATACAATAAACCACTAAGATCAATTTATCTACACAGCAGAGGGCTTGGTAACTCATACTCTTACCTCATATTTATTGGGTAAAAAGTCACAAGTAGGCATTTTTGATTGCAGGTGGAAAGACTTGTTCCTTTCTTGTTGTATACATATCTCTAATTTTAAAAAAATGCAAATAAGCAAAATTATGAAAACATATCAGAGTAGACCCAGTGATGGCTCACGGCTCAATGCCCCATCTCATTATGATAGAGTGAAGTGTCCCCCCTCCATGGATCATGCTTTACCATTTGAAATTAATTTCATTTCATACTATTTTCATATGACAGGTAATGTTATGTTAAATACACAGAATGGAGGGAAGCCTCTTTTTCATATTTGCTCCTTACAAGTTAGTGGAACTCACTACCAAGAGAGCTTGACCTGGCCCTTTCTCTGTTGTTCTTCCACCAACAACAACTGACCAGTTGCTGAGAAAGGGACTTAAATGAATTCATGCTGCTTTTTTTAAATGTATTTTTGGTTTCTAAGAATTCAATAGTGTTTTTAATATTACAATTTCTTTACTGGTGTTCTAACATTATAAACTTTTTGCCCAGCATGGCTGAGGAGCCAGAGTGGCTTAGTGGCTTGAGTGTTGGACGACTCTGGAGACCACGGTTCAATTCCCCGCTTGGCCATGAAAACCCACTAAGTGATCTTGGGCAAGTCACAGTCTCTCAGCCTCAGGGGAAGGAAATGATAAACCTCCTCTGAACAAATCTTGCCAAGAAAGCCCCATGATAGGTATTAGGATCTCCATAAATTGGAAATGACTTGAAGGCACAAAACAACAGCAACAACCATTTTAACCTTGTTGTAAGTTCCCTTGAGTCCTAGTTCTTGCACAGGCATGGCTGCACATTGCACAGGCATGGCTGCACATTCTGTCTAGAAGAAGCTACTATGCCAACTTAAACCCCAAACACAGTGGAATTCAAACCAGACCTCTTTAGTGGGATGTTTAACTGGCAGGGATTTATATGGTTGCCCTGGTACGGAGTGGAATGAGATGATGCTTGGGCTCTCTTCTAACTGCATGAATCTATAGTTCATGTTTTGCAGGCTATAGAAATAAGCAAGGTTTGGGGAATTCTGGAAGTCCTTGGGCATCTTCTATTACTGAATGTAATAGTCATAGTTGTGACATAAACAACTAGCAAAAATTATACCTTTACAATATCATATGCACAGAATGTGGTTAAAGTGAAAATCTGGTAAAATGTGATGTTTTGAATTTTTTTTAAAAAAAATAAATTTATTTTTTTAATTTGAAATTTGAAATTTGAATTTTTTAAAATAAAAACCTGGTTCTTCTCTTTTCCCCTTCCACTGAGCCTCACCCCACTCAGCCCATCTCTTCAGCATTTTAAGGAGATACAGGCAAACGCTGCAGCCCATTTCTGCCAAAATGCAGATGTTTGAGGAGCAGTGGTGTCACATACACACCCCATTAGGGTGTCACCTGGTGAGGTCCACACACCCTGCGTGCCCCTAGTGATGCCACTAGTTGGAGTGTTGGACTAAAGCTCTGGAGCAGTGGAGTCACTGCCATTGGTACCATCCAGTGTGGATGCCCAGAAAGGGCTGCTGGAGGTGGGGGGGGGGGAGAGAGAGAGAGAGACCACCCCATTCCCCATCCCTCCCATTGCCTCACTCACCTTCCCCATCCCTGGCCACCTGGTCAGATTGCTGCTGAGAGGGGTGATGCCACAGCCTTCAAAGGGCCCATTAAGAGTGGCATGGCTGCTGGGCAAGCAAAAAAGGGAGGCGATACCCTCTATTCTTTGCCCAGCAGCTGCACCAGTCCCACTAGGAATACCACCTCACCACGTGTGTCTTCTGGGGTGTCACTTGGTGCAGTCCGCACTCCCCGCACCCCCTTCATGATTCCACTGCTCTGGACAATAGGGTTTGAATCCCCATTCAGCCATGGAAACCCACTGGGTGGCTTTGGGTAAGTCACGTTCTCTCAGTCTCAGAGGAAGGCAAGGGTAAACCCCCTCTGAACAAACCTTTCTAAGAAAACCCCGTGATAGGGTTATCTTAGGGTTGCCATAAGTCAGAAACCACTTGAATGCATACAACAACAGCAACAACAAAATACAAAAATGGCTGTTTAATTTTTCTACCTAAAGAGTAGACCTTTGGAGTGTAATGAATGCTTAAGTAAAACAACAGGACAAGCAGTTATTGCAAAGGAATCTTTATTACTTTTTCACTATACATAGAAGAAAACAAATAATTCTGTGATAAAGAACTATCACCAATCCTTGTATGAGCTATGTGAGCTGAGATTGCCAGAACTTGGGAAAATGTCCAAGGACTTTCATTTTGCACACCTTTTGTAAGAATGTGGTTAGTTCAGAAGAGTTTGATAATGACTGATTCGCAAGACCAGTGTATCTAATCTCCTTAGTCTAAATTCAATTGTCATTCTCATTTAGAGTAGACCCATTACATAAATACTAAGTTACCAAATCCCCATTGATTCAGTGAATCTACTTGAGTTCTGAATAAAAATTGGATTTAGGACCCACATGCTATTTTTAGCTGCCTAAAATTTCTGTCTAAAAGGCAGGATACAAATTAAACAATTCAATTTAATTAATGAATACATAAGTTCCAAAATAACCTGAAGACGGATTCCTTTTCTCCTAGTGCAGAGATGGGCGACTGTGGCAACTTTAAATACCTCAAGCGCTGTCACAGAGACATGTTCTGCTGCCCCAGAGCGTACTACCAGGTATGATGATTTGAAGTTATAGGAGAGTAGATTTTGACTGAACATTAGAAAGCATTTCTTGGCAGTAAGAGCAGTTTGGTAATGGAACCATTTAACTAGTGAAATGGTGGGATCTCCTTCTTTAGATTTCTTCAAAAGAGGCTAGGCAGTTCCCTGCTAGGGATGCTTTAACTCAGTGATTTCTAAACTTTGGTCCTCCAGATGTTTTGGACTTCAGCTCCCAGAATTACTGTCAGTTTGCCAACCTATCTGGGGCTTCTGGGAGTTCAATTCCAAAACACCTGGAGGACCAAAGTTTGGGAATCATTGCAAGTGAGCTGGATAGAACAGAGGATGGAGTCAATAGGCCATGAGGCCCCTTCTAGCTCTTTGGTTCTTTTCCAAATATTTCTGGACTGAGACTCCCATATTCCCTTCCCACTGTCTATGGCAGTCTAAGCTGGGTGAGCACTATAGGCCAAAAACATTAACAAGATAAATTGTCCACCTCTATTCTACCACACCGCTTGGATTCACAAGCTATTTTGGCTGTGTTATGACTTACTATATACAATATACACCTTGTTTCCTTTTACTGGAACTAATGCTGCACAGGAGAAGCAAATGGGATAACCACTCCAGCCTGATGGGGGACATCAGAAACAATATTTTCCTGGACTATAATCCCCAGATTCCCACTGTATGTGGAACTACTGGATAGAACAGTCTCAATATTTGCTTCACCAGAACCTATGCTTGCAAGAGCTTGACACTGGATTAGTGTGATAATAACGCTCCATTGAGAAGTCAGAAGAAAGGGAAGTAGATTGGTAGGAGAGGATAGAGAAGAAGGGAAATAAAAGAAAATAGAAGAAGAGAGAAAGGATAAGCAAGTGGAAAGAGAAAGGCATATAAGAAAGAAGGGAAATAAAAAAGATTAGTTTCAGTAGAATATCAGTAGAGCCAAACATGCAAGTGTATATGTTCAAATGTATATATTCAAATGTTGAGATGCTAGATGATAAATGTATAGTAAGTCTGATTCATGATGTGTGTAATATTTGTTAGTTTATTGATTTTTCATTTACTTGTATGTTATTGTATGCACTGTGGTCTCTTTAGACAGAAGACATGGACACTGCTTTCCATATTAAATAGAATTTCTTAATTAGTTAACAATAAAGCACTACCTGTCTTATTCTTTCCCTTCCATTATGTTCCCAGGAAAGACAGAAAGAGTCCATAGAAATCTTAATTTTTTATTTATACTCCACTGTTCTTCCAAGGTGTTCAGGACAGTGCAATATACTTTTTTATTATTACAACAACCCTTTGAAAAAGCAAGAGACTAGGTCAGTCATCCAGTAAGCTTCATGCCAGAGCAGAGCCCTGAGTCAAAGTTCCAAGTCTAACAGTCTATGTATTACAGGACATTGGCACGACAAACTATACGTCTTACACCATACATCTTACATCTGAATCAAAGTCCAAGCTCAAGGATCCATTCACAACTGCCCCTTGCAATGGATATTGATGTCCCTTATGCAATGCTAAAATCAGATTAGCCCTGCTGAATCATGCAATGACAATGAAGATTATGATTGTCCCATGAGATAACTTCTAAAGGCACACTGGCAGAGCAACCAAATGTTCACCAAATCCAGGCTCTTGTTTCAAATAGTGCACAATTGTATGGGTCAGGGAAATGTCTCATCTTCTTTTGTCCCTAATGAGAACCATACAGGCTCTGAGCAAGATCCTTTTGATACTCCACCATTATGGCACTTGTATACCTCTTTAACTGCTACAGCCCCATCCTATGGAAACTTGGGATCTGCAGAAAGGGGTATTTAGAGTATTTAGGGGTACTTCTCTGCCAGAAGCTCCAGAGGTTCACCAAATTACATATCAAATATGATTAAGCTAAAAAGGCCAATGTGATTTTAGGATGCATCAATAGAAGTATAGTATCTAGATCAAGGGAAGTCATAGTGCCACTCTATTCTGCTTTGGTCAGACCTCACCTGGAATACTGTGTCCAGTTCTGGGCACCACAATTCAAAAAGGATGTTGAGAAGCTGAAGCATGTCCAAATGAGGGTGACTAAAATGGTGAAGGATCTGGAAATCATGCCCTATGAGGAGAGACTTAGGGAACTGGGTATGTTTAGACTGGAGAAGAGAAGGTTAAGAGGGGATATGATAGCTCTGTTTAAAGATTTGAAGGGATGTCATATTGAGGCTGGAGCAAACTTGTTTTCTGCTGCTCCAGAGAATAGGACCTGGAACAATGGATGCAAGATATAGGAGAAGAGATTCCATTCAACATTAGGAAGAACTTCCTGACAGTAAGAGCTGTTTGATAGTGGAACACATTCCCTTAGAGGGTGGAGGAGTATCCTTCTTTGGAGGTCTTTAAACAGATTGCCATCTGTTGGGGGTGCTTTCATTGAGAGTTTGTGCATGCCAGAATGGGGTTGGATTGGATGGCCCTCAAGGTCTCTTCCAACTCTACGATTCTACGATTTATTTATGATTCTAAACTGAATAAGAACAGAATGGTTGCAGCAAATGTAGCAATGTACTGTAGAAATATAATAATAATTGAAAGGGGATATAATTGCAATAGAAGATAATATATGTTGCATTGAAAGGTTTTTTTACGAAGTTAAGACAGTCGTTACACTAGGAAGTCAAGAATGCAAAGATACTGATGTTTGTTGTTGTTAACTGCCTTTGAGTCAGTCTCGACCCATGGCAGCCCTGTGGATGAGACATCTCCAGACCCCCTTTATTGTCCTCTATTGCTCTGCCCAGCTCCTGCAAACTCCTATTTGTGGTCTCTTTAATAAAGTCCATCCATCTAGCATATGGCCTTCCTCTCTTTCTCCTTTCTTCATCTCTCCAAACATTATTG